TCGAGCTGTTCAAGTGCTAAATTCAAACTATTTGGTTCGGCGCGACGCTGGCTCGACGTATGAACCGGGCCTAAGTGTGAATTTGTATAATAAGATCAGCAAAGAGAGTAGACTAATAGGAGCAAGGTAGGCATGGTAACAAAAAATAGACAATTAAGGCAAGGGATGTGTGTGTTATGTGCAATATCAAAGAGATGAATTTGCCTTCTGATTAATTTGACTTTTCTAGGTTGTGAGAGTCCATTGGGCATGGAAGATGGACGAATTACTGATGGAGACATCAAGGCTTCCTCGTATTTTAASGMGAGGAATGCGCCATGGTAAGTRGGCCCTGTAAGTCTTACTCACGGACTTGCTTACGATGACAGCCGGAACTAAGTTGAAGAGAAAACGATAGAAAGAGAATGTTTCTTAGTTTAGATGGCAAATATCAAGGGATTCCTTTCACMTGAATTCAGAGAAAAATTGCTTGTCTGTAGGAAAAGGACATTTTCTTGCTTCTTGTGTAATATAATAAGAACATTTTTCAATTSAGCCTTCCGGTTTATGTCGTAGTTATGTATTAAATGGAAAAGAAAAATAAACTAAACATCGATCTGCCTTTCAGTTATTTCTCCTCGAAGATTATAGACATCGATTTAATTGTTTGGACCGAAAAGCTTCTCTGCAATACATTGCAATGTGATGTGATAATGCATCGTAGGAAAGGCAAGGACCGCGGAGCTTAAATTTGTTTGGGGGGGGCTAGAGGCGAGGAGGTATTAGGGGGGTTCGGAAATTTTTTGAAATCTTAACTCTCGGAAATGTCATTTCCAGCGTTTTGAGGCGTTATCAATTTTTACCGCACACACATTCAGCGATATCATCAATAAATCCCCAAAGAGCTTGAATTTTAATTGTTCACGCTCAGTTTTTTACACAATTTTTATAGAATATATATGGTGAAATTTCATAAGGAGGCTCTTCGCTTCWTTATTTAAGAAAATTCAAAATGTCGGAAAAATTATCGGGGGGGCTGTAGCCCCCCAGCCCCCCCTGCTCCGCGGTCCATGAAAGGGCGAACATCTATACTTTAACAATTATAATAATCAAACAGGTTTGGACGTCTAAATAGAATCAAGAGCTCCAGTGATGAAGGGGTGTGGTCTTCGAGGGCAAGAAAAGAGGGCGAATACATCCAAGTTGACCTTAAAACCATGACGTTCATCACCAAGGTAGCAACTCAAGGAAGGCCAGAAAGTCAACAATGGGTTACCAAGTACTCACTGGCTTACAGTAATGACGCCAAAAACTGGAAGAACTACGAAGAAGACTGTGTTATCAAGGTAACATATGKTTTTCCTGTGGAGAGGAAYATGATGTCTTGTTAGATTTCTAGCTAGTTATAGACAGTCGCTTGCAGAAATGGACTTTTTGTTGGTGTGATGCTCGTGACGCTTAGACAACGAAACACTTGAATCGATGACTTGCACAATGACGTCGCATACTGCCACGACCAGAATGCTTTGCCCTCTTTCTATTGTAATAACGATATTTTATTCGCTTTCTTTTGGGTTTTGTATGACCTTTACGCAAGATCGAGAATSTGCTGTCAAATAAAACAGCGGTTATTCGCTTTGAATTCGAAAATGGTGTATACACCTAATTGAAAAARCCTAGTCGTGTTCTAAAAGGTCATATCATAGAAGCTAAGACCGAAAGGGATTTTGAGTACCACTAAATTGGGATTACATTTGCATATACGGTGTACACTAAGCAAGTAGAGCTAGTAAGATTAACAGCATGATAGTCTTTTATGCTGGAGAGCTGTTTGTTATGAAATTTGCCAAATTGATTGTCTTCCCAAGTACCCTTTCGGTCTTAGCTTCTATGATTTGAC